TCCCTGGGCAGCCTGAACCAAGGCCTGACAACCCTTTCAGTGAAGATTTTTCCCCCTAATATCCAATCTAAACTTCCCTTGGTGCATCTTGAGGCTGTTCCCTCTCCTCCTGTCCCTGTTCCCTGGGAGCAGAGCCCGACCCCCCTGGCTGTCCCCTCCTGTCAGGGAGTTGTGCAGAGCCACAAGGTCCCCCCTGAGCCTCCTTTTCTCCAGGCTGAGCCCCTTTCCCAGCTCCCTCAGCCTCTCCTGGTGCTCCAGCCCCTTCCCCAGCTCTGTTCCCTTCCCTGGACATGTCACCACACTGGTTTCTGTTCTGAAGCCACATCCACCAGGATTCCACTCCTCAGACAAACATAGCCATGATTTAGGAAATCGGGGTAAATTGCCCACAAACCCATTTATCTGAGATCACCCTGCCTTGGTCACAGAGTCATCTTTTTGTGTAACTTCCTCCTTTTCTTCCTTTCCCTAGAATCCGAGCTGGATTAGCAATGGTTTTGATATCAATAAATATTTTACTGCTGTGGGTGCTCTCAGCATCTGCGTGTGAACCCTCAGATGGAGCCAGGGCAACAGGGAATTCAAATGATCTCTCTGATTTCATCCTTCTTGCAGGAGCAAACATTCCCATGAATTATTCGTGTCAAATCCTGCAGTCCCCATGTGCTCTGGAGTGCAAACTCCCTTTCCTTACATGATATTTATGGAGCAGAAGCATAAGGAATGAGCAGTTTTAGGGATCTTATCATTTACTGGGCCAGGAAAAGGAATTGTTTGTAGCTTTGTTCCAGTCTCCAGGACCTCATATAAAGTAATTAACTGAGAATTTCATGGTCAGTGCCTGGCCCTGAGGCCAAACAGGAAGAATCTGGCCACACCAAGCTCCAGAACACTCCAAGCCTTCAAAACCAGGTGGGCACATCCAGATCCTGCAGGGAATGGGATGAGCAGGGTGGCTATGGACAGCAGGGAAGGGCTCCTCCACAACTCTGCCCTCAGCAAACAGGAAGGACAGGATGTAATAATGCCTCGTGTTAATTTATTGTAAACATTTCACATTGTCAGTGTTCCATGGGGAAGCACCTCTGGTGCCTTGAGTTAAGGCAGTCTGAGAGAGCTGCTGCTTCTACAAAGCCTTGGTCCTGCACAGATCCTGTCCCAGAGAGCCTGCACATCCCTGGACAATCCCTGGAGAAGGGTAAAACCTTCAGGCTGTGACCCCACAACTCATCACTGTGGCTTTAAGAGGTCCTCAGGTCCAGTTTTCATCACAATTATACTGATTATTTCGTATTTTGCTTCTAATCCATCCCAGCACCAGAAAACATCGCCTTGGCTCAAGCAGATTTTTGTGTTTGGGCTTTGCAGTCTGCCCCCTCCCTCTCCCCTGGCCTCCCTCGGTGAAAAGTTAATTTAGGACAGCAGCCTTCGAGTGAAAAATGGTGTTTTTTGGGAAGCACCAACTGAGGGCAGCTGTCCATGCAGGAAGGGGTGATCCTTGCTTTTAGGAATATCAAGGACACGTCCCCAGGAGGCAAAATCATGCCTGAAATTCCTGTTGTTACCCTGATCCAAGTCAGGGAACTTCTTGGCGAGTGCCCCAGCACCATCCCCACCAGAATAATTTCAAGAAAAAACAATAAATAACCAACAGTAACACAGCTTTTCTTCAGGGACCAAGTTGTTCTCTACCAAGAAAATGTTCCCTAATAACAGGATTCCACCATGATGGTGTCACCAAAGCCTGGCAATGCCACTTGAGAGCCTCTGATCTTATTTTCCTTCTCAGCAGTGAAAACTGCAGTGCCTTCACCCACTCCTCTGAATAATGGGAATGTTTCTGCAAGCTTGCCATGGTAATTTAAAATCAATTTTACTTTGGTTTCCCATTATAACTTTTGCTATAGGAAATTAACACTTTAGTAAATCACCTATTGCCTGCAAAAACAACAGAGTGCAATAAATGGTAGAGCCTGTGAGGTTTGGTTGGTTTGCAATGGGAAAAAAAATCCCAATGGATATAATAATATAATGATGTGATAATTGAAATCTGTGTTTTGGTAGAATCAGAGAATAGTTTGGGTTGGAAGGGGCCTTTAAAGGCCACCCAGTGCTGTGGGCAGTGACATCTTCAACCCATATTGCTCAGGCCTCTGTCCAGCTTGGCATTAGGCAGCAGCAGGATGGGCTGGGCCCTTTGGATGTGCCCTTTGGAGGAGCCAGCGTGGTGAAAGCATCACCCCTGTGTGTGCAGGGTTGTCACCAGTCCCACTGCCAGTGCTGGGGGGATATGAAGGTGATAAATAGAGTTCACTCCAGCCTGTGGTCCTGCAAAGCATTTTGGAGAAGTTCTGAACCCAGATATTCTTGCTGTCTCAGTTGGCTTCACCAACTCATTACAAGGTACAGCAGAGGATCCTGTTCACCCTCCTGTTTTTGGGAAATGATGCTCAAACCCCCTGGTGATGCTGTTGTAAAAGCCAGAGCTGTATCTCCCATGGCAAATAAACTGCTCCATTGCTCCTGGAGTTATGGGGCTTATTTTCTGATGGTTTCCTGCCTGTTTTCTCAGCAGTGAGCAGGAATTACAGAATATACCAGTTAACTCCAGCTCTTCCCATGACTACCACTTCAATAAAAACCATGCAAAAGAGATTATGGAGAAAAAAAACCCCACAACTGTCTCTGAGTTCCCCCATTTAAATTGCTACAGCCATTCAAAAGCCAGGAATTTCCTGCCATCCAAACCTCCAGATTATCCAGCCCAGCTCTTTAAATGCACAGGACAAGAAAAAAAGGTGTTAGGCTGGGCCTTCATCTCCTCTCCTGATGATTCCTGCTTTCAGCCCTGGCTGTCAGCAGTCCCCTCCCGGCACCAGCAGAATCAAAGGTGGAACACGAGGAACGACAAAAGCGCCGGCACCGCTCGCGACTCATTAGGAAGTTCCTGCCTCTCTCCCAGTTGCACGTTAATGAGCACAGGGAGAGCTGGGGATGGTTTGGCTCCGTGTTTGAGATCCAGCTCGGGAGCTGGAACCCGCAGCTCCGAGGCTTTCACAGGAAAAACGCTCCAAAAAAATCCTCGTCAAAAGTGGCGCGTGCGGGCGGATCCAGGGGATGGATGGGGATGGATGGGGATGGATGGGGATGGATGGGGATGGATGATGGATGGCTCCTGCAGAGCCTGGTTGCAGAAAGCCCCTCTGATCTCTCCTTGTATCTCCCCTCATTTCCTCTGAGGCATTTTGGGGTGGATGTGTGAATTTTAAGTGTAAAACGTCTTTGGGATTAACACCAAGGGTGCACAGCACAAAAATAAAATGGACGAGCCAGGGTGGATGTTGACCATGGGCTTAACATTCTCAAAGGTCTGGAGATCCTGGATGGGATAAAGGGTTTGGTTTGCCTTTCTCAGCTTGGACTCCTTATAAAACAAGGGCCAGAAGGTAAAACTGGGACAGAAAAGCTACGCCTACACCTGCAAATCTGCCTTGCAGCTCTTGGTCTCCCTCTTCTCTGGACATGCCATGGTATGGGAGATACACCTGATCCCTGATGGACATCCCCAGGCTTTGGCTTCAGAAGATGAAGTATGGAGACAGAAGACCATCTTGGTCCCAAGATAAAACACTTCCCATGAATCCCAGAATCCCAGAATCCCAGAATCCCAGAATCCCAGAATCCCAGAATCCCAGAATGGGTGAGATTGGGAAGGACCACTGGAGGTCATCTGATCCCACTTCCCTGCTCCAGCAGGGCCATCCCAGAGCACAGAGCACAGGGTTGTGTCCAGATCATTGTGGAATATCCCAGTGAGGAGACTCCAGACCCTCTCTGGACAATCAGTTCAGTGCTCGGTCACTGCTCATAAAGAAGTTCTGCCTCCTGTCCAGGTGGAACTTGCTGGGATCAATTCCTGCCCGTTCCTCTGGTGCCATTGCTGGGCCCCTGGAGCAGAGCCTGGGCCCTGCTCTGACCCTCCCTGCACACAGGGACACCCAGAGACACCCAGGGACACTCAGGAATAGACAGGGGCACTCAGGGACACAACAGGGACATACAGGGACACTCAGGAATGAGGTTCCCTCTCAGGATCTCCTCTCCAGGCTGAACAGCCCCAGCCCCCTCAGCCTTTCCCCACCATGGACATGCTCCATTCCATCCATCATCCCTCTTGCTGGGGCTGCTCCAGGAGCTCCGTGTTCCTCCTGTCCCTATGATCCCAGAACTGGACACAGCACTCCAGATGTGCCTCACAGGGCTGAGCAGAGGGGCTGCTGACCTGCTGGAAATGCTCTTCCTGGAGCACCCTTGGATCCCTTTGGCTTTCTTGGCCCCTAGTGCACTCATGGACAGCCACAGTTGTCCACCAGGACACCCAGATCCTTCCCAGAGCTGCTCCAGAAGGTCACCCCAGCCTGTGCTGGTGCCCCAGGTTGTTCCTCCCCAGGTGCAGGACCTGCATTTCCCTTTGCTGAAATTCAGACACTTCTCTGCCCATTCCTCCAACACATCAAGGTCCCTCTGAAGGGCTGCACAGCCCTTGGGGTGACCAGTCACTCCTCCCAGCTTTGTGTCCTCACTCAACTTCTTGAGGAGGCACTTGTCCCTTCATCCAAGTCATTAATGAGCAAGTTAAACAATTCTGAGCCCAGTACTGAACCCTGGGGGACACCACAAGTGACAGAGCTCCGACCAGACCCTGTGCCACTGATTGCAACCCTCTGGGCTCTCTTGTTCAGCCAGCTCATGGGATCACAGAATCATTAAGGTTGGAAAAGACCCTCAAGATCTAAGTCCAACTAGAGTGAGTTAAGGCAGCCAGGTCCAGCCCTAAACCATGTCCCTGAGCACCACATCTGTGGTGCAGTTCTCAGTCCAGCTCTTACAGCCCTCATTTCCTGAGTTTATCCAACAGATGTGATGGGAGACAGTGTCACAAGCCTTGCTGACGTCCAGGTACACAAAACCCAGTGCTCTCCCCTCATCCGTCCAGGTGTTTGTCTCATCATAGAAGGCAATTGGGTTGGTCAAACATGATTTCCCTTCAGTGAATCCATGCTGACAACTCCTGATTGCCTTTCCCGACACTGGTGTTTTCCCACTTAAAGCATTTCCTTTTGACAAATGGGCATCTCCCTTTGGGGGACAGCAAACAGAGACACTGGAAAATGCCTCCCTGGTGTTAATGAGCATTTTGCAGATGTGCAGGGACCCCCCCACCCTGTGGGTGAGAACACAGTTATGCACTGAGAGCTCTGCAGAACCTCCTGGAAGCTGGCAGGGTGTCTCCCAAACTTCCTGGTGCACAGCAAGTCCTGTGGGATTGCTCGTGCCATTCCACACCACTACAGAGCTGGATGGACAGGCAGGTGGGGAAGGAAAAAAAGGAATAAATTAAACCTTCCTTGCCCCATCCTCTCTCATCCCAAATCAACGAGAGGCTGCCTGTGCCTGAGGTGCCACGTCCAAGACAATCACAGCTGACAGTGCCTTCAAGGGATGCTGTCAAAGACTTTTAGGCTCATCATTCAATGAAGGGAAGATTTCCTGACCGATTTTGTGGGAAGGAGCCCCTTTGCAGACATGCTGGGAGTGCCACCTGCAGCCAGTGTGGCTCCACCCCTGGTTGCCAGAGCCTGACACAGCTTCAGGATGGTGCCACCAGCCCTGGAGGTGAGGGTTGGGTCACAGAACAGCAGGAGAGGCTGGGTGAGGAGCCAGGGATGAGGACGTCTGTGTGCAGCATTTTGGATGGGTGGATGGTGGCAATGCTGAGGTGCAGCCTCACCTGGTGGGATGGGGAAATGCCTTTGGCTTCTCCTGTCGTGTTTTTGTCATGGTTTGAGGACTGCAGACGTCCCTGAGGGATTGGCAGCACCTTGGGGTTTCTGGGGAGGTGATGCTCACGGCTGCAGGTTATTCCTGACTCCAAATCCTGATGCCTGATGTCAGAGGGGAATCCTCTGCAGCCCAGGGAGAGCAAGGGGCAAGTGCAGAGGGTGACTCTTGTCACACAGCCAGCCTCCCACAATGTCATCCTGTGGAGGAATCCTCTATGCGATGGGGAGAAGGAGGATGAGGTCGAACACCTTCCACTATCCCAGGGTACTCCAAACCCATCCAGCCTGGCCTTGGACAATTCCAGGGATCCAGGGGCAGCCACAGCTTCTCTGGGCACCCTGTTCCAGGGCCTCCCCACCCTCCCAGGGAAGAGTTCTTTCCCAATATCCCATCCATCCCTGCCCTCTGTTAGTGGGAAGTCATTCCCTGTGTCCTGTCCCTCCAAACCCTTGTAAATGGCGTCTCTGCATCTTTCTTGTAGGCTCCTTCAGGACCTGGATGACCACAATTAGTTCATCCCAAAGCCTTCTCCAGGCTGAACAAGCCCAATTCCCCCAGCCTTTCCCACAGCAGAGCTGCTCCATCCCTCTGCTCATCCTGCTGCCTCCTCTGGGCTCTCTCCTGCAGCTCCAGCTCCTCCCTGTGCTGGGCCCCAGATCTGGAGGCAGCTCTGCAGGTGGGGTCTCACCTGAGAGGGGCACAGGAGGCAGAATTCCCCCTCCCCTGCTGCTCACACTGTGGGATCAGCCCAGGGCATGGAGAGTTTGGGATGGGTCATGTCCAGCTGACAGACCCCTACCTCAAGCTGAGATAAATTATGAATTAATTTCTATCAAATACCTCCTTGGGAAATCTCTCCATTGCCAAAGTGCCAAGTGGGGTGAACCCCACACTTCCTGTCCAGCAATTCTCCTGTTTAGGAATTGCCTCCATATTCATCCAAACCCTCTTTGCCACACCAGACCCTTGCACCACTTCCATCTTTCCCAGGATTTTGCCTGCAAATCTTTTTATCTAATGATTCTGGAATTAATTTTTAAACAGTGTTGATTTTTTTTTTTTTACATTTATGAGGGCCACACAGGACAATGCATTCCAATGTGTTGTGAACAAACACACCTTGTATATGAATTAATACCTTAAACATAGATACAGGTTCACATATATGTGCAAACCTATATGAATCTATGGCTTATTTATTCATTTGAGGTGTATATACCTGTATACAGAGAGGTGTATGGCATATATAAATAAAAGAATAAAATCTGATTTATGAGCTATGTATTTATATAAGCAAACCATATATGTTTATATATTTCATATATATGACCATATAGTGTATATTTATTCATTTCTGTATCTCTGCAAACAATCTGCTGCTGGCAGAGAGGTGAAACCAGGAACTGCTGTCTGATGTAAAGATGGGAATTCATTTTTGAGGTCAAACTGGAGTGAATAAATGAGTATTTTGATGGTTTCATGTACAAGACCTTTGGAATGATTTGGAAAAGCCCTTTTTAGAAATGTAGGGAATGTCACTTCTTGGCAAAACTGCTCTTCCTGGTTGTATTTCCTTTTTTAAACTTCATATTCAGTGCCTGCCATTCAGTAGTGACCCATTGCTGTGTGACATACTATCACGGCACAATAAATCACAAAAAAGCAGAAAATAAAATAAAGTAAAATTAAATTTTAAAATTTTAAAATTTTAAAATTTTAAAATTTTAAAATTTAAAACAAAATAAAACAAAACAAAACAAAATAAAATAAAATAAAATAAAATAAAATAAAATAAAATAAAATAAAATATTAAAGGCGGCTGTAGCTTCATACAGACGGAATTATTGTAATTGGAAATGCAAAGTGTTTGCTCACAGATGATGCAAGGAAGCAGCTGAAGAGAAGGAGAAAAGTTGCTTTATCAGGTTGCTGCTCCACATGGAGGCATCAGGAGACCATGGCCAAGCCCTCACTGTCCTTTCCCTGTCCCGACATTCCCGGAGATGTTCCAGGAGCTGAACTCTGCTCGGATTCTGGCACCTCCCTCCGTGCTCCCATTGCCTTTCTCTGGTTTCCCTCCCCAGCTGCAGCCGGCGGGTCTGGGCAGACCCGGAGCCAGGGCAGCAGAGATCAGAGATCAGAGATCCCATCTCTGCTCCTGGGAGCTGGGAGGGAGGGAGGGAGGAGCCTCTCCTGTTCTGGATGTGTGATGGGACCGGCTCTCAGCCACCCCATCCCCGCATCCCATCCCTGCATCCCATCCCCTCATCCCATCCCCTCATCCCATCCCCTCATCCCATCCCTGCATCCCATCCCCTCATCCCATCCCTGAATCCCATCCCTGAATCCCATCCCCGCATCCCATCCTTCCATCCCATCCCTGCATCTCCTTCCCCGCCACTCTCATCCCTCAGCCTTTGCTCAGGGAGGAGGTGGAGCTTTAAATTTGACCTAAAAAGAGCACTGAAGTGACTCATTGGATTGTAGACAGACCCACACGTGGATCCCGGGCTGAGAGAGAGGAATCTCCTCCACATCAATTCATGAATCCCAGCTCAAACACGGATCTGACAAACTGTGGTTGAGGAGAGGTTCCCCTCCTGCCACCCCAGCCCTGGATTTAGCTCAGATTTTGCTAATCTCAACACTAACAGCCAGGGTGGGGGGATTTTATTAATGCTTTGGTGTTTGGGGAAGGGGGGAAAGCAGCCAGAAATCACCTCCCAGGACCAAGTGCAAATCAGAGCAAAGAGGAAACGTTCTCCTCCACCATGGAGAGGTGGCTGTGCCACCCAGGAATGATGCCATGGGAAGCAGCAAATATATTGCTGTGCAGGAAAGGGAAAGAGCCAGGATCCAGCCCTTTGCCTCTCCTAGAAAATCACTAAAGCAAGCAATAGTAATTGGAGAGCTACTTGTAAGCCGGGCATCTTCTCCCCTGCTAAAAGCTTTGCCTGTAGCGCTGAAGGAGCGGCTTGTGATAAATATATATATATTAAAAATATCTGCTCTGACAAGCGTGAAGCTGGAGAGGCAGAGAGGCAGGGGAGGAGGTAAGGCGGGTAGGAAGCATAAATCAAAATGTTTTGCTGCTCCTAATTAAATCCACCAACCTGTTTGTAACAAAAGCCACTCTCGGTCAATGGGAAGAGAGGAGGACGAGGAGCTGATGCTGCTTGGTGGCCACTGCGGCCAACAGCTCCCTGAGCCTCACACAGGAGCCTTGGGAGTCCTTACACTGGGATTTGAGCTTCAGGAAAACCTCCAGCCATCTGTGCCAGAGGAGGCAGAGCCATCACAGGCAGGCAGGCAGGAGAGGGGGGAAAAGCAGTGCAGGGAAGGCTGGGAACCTTCTCAGTGCTCCACATCCTCTGCAGCCAGACGGCTGCAATGTGCTGCTGCCAGCCCTGCAGCCACCACGGCTTCTGCAGCTGGGAATGGGTAGAAAGAGCAAAATCGGGAAAGAGGGAGGGCTGGGGAGGGAAGGAGGTGAACAGGGAATCATGCTGCTGCTGCTGCTGTTGCTGCTGCTGCTGCTGCTGCTGCTTTACTGTTCAAGATGCTGCCTGCAGTGTGTTTGTGGCCCCCACCCATCTCCCAAAGGAGATGCAGAGCGAGAAAACATTCAGAGAAGGATGGTGAAGGAGATCAGGGGGATGGAACAGTTTCTGTACATTCAGAGAATAGTTTGAGTTGGAGGGGACCTTTAAGATAATCTCATTGTACCCCCTGTCATGGACAGAGACACCTTCCACTATCCCAGGTTGCTCCAAGCCCTGTCCAGCCTGGCCTTGGATATTTCCAGGGATCCAGGGGCAGCCACAGCTTCTCTGGGCACCCTGTGACAGGGCCTGACCATCCTCATGGACAAGAATTCCTTCCCAATATCCCATCTATCCCTGCCCTCTGGCAGTGGGAAGTCATTCCCTGTGTCCTGTTCCTCCATTCCTTGTCCCCAGTCCCTCTCCAGCTCTCCTGGAGCCCCTTTAGGCTCTGCAAGGGGCTCTGAGCTCTCCCTGGATCCTTCTCTTCTCCAGGTGAGCACCCCCAGCTCTCCCAGCCTGGCTCCAGAGCAGAGGGGCTCCAGCCCTTGGAGCATCTCTGTGGCCTCCTCTGAACTCTCTCCAGGAGCTCCAAATTCTTCTTATGCTGAGGACTCCAGGCAAATATGTCACAGAGACCAAGATTCTTCAGTCCAGAAAAGGGAGAGCTGATGTCACACAAGATAAAGAGCTGTAAAATCCAGAGTGCCCTGCAATGAAGAATTTGCTAACACGAGCCAGGAGCTCCCTGTGGGATGGTTGGGTGACAGTTCAAACCCAGCAAAAGGAAGGCTCTTTTTTTTTTTCTATAAAGCACAGCTAAACTGGGCAATTCCTTCTTGTAATGCCAAGGTTTTAGGAAAAAAAGAATAACAGAGACACTCAACCACCAAGGAACAATTCTGCTATTAAATCAACACCAGCACATCCATCTCAGGAGGATCATGGGATGAATCCCTGTGTGCTTGCCTTGTCCTTGCACCCACCTGCTGTTACTTGTCCTAAGTCACAATGTAAAGATGTGCCCAAAAGTATGGACTTTATAACATCTGCTGAAACCAGCTGGGGCAGTGATCCTGATCTCTGTGGGAGATATTCTCTGTTAATGGGCCAGCTGTTAAAAACCAGCTGGGGCAGTGTTCTTGATCTTTTCCACAACCCATCCTTCCTCCAGGAGGTATCTCCTGTTAATGGGCCATGGAGTCCCCCTGCATGGCTGATAAAATTCCATCATCCCATCGGGAGATGCTCCAGCCAGGGGGAGGAGCCAAGCATTTCCTACTTGATAAAATCTGAGATTTGGAACACCAGGGCAGCCTTTTTCCACTGGATTCCAGAGGAAAACCAGACCCTTCTACATCATCACTGGAGCTTTGGAGGAAACCTGCACCTTCTACAGGAGCACTGCTCCAACTGAACCACATCTGTCACTGCAGGATTGGCAGCCACCATTGAATGGGACTGCACCAACCCCTGAGTGACTGATGGGGTGTCAGCTTGGATTCTGACTCTGGCAGTGGTTTTCTTTTGTACTATTGCATTTATTTTATTTTTTCTTTTTTTTCCCCCTATTAAATTGTATTTCTAACTTGGAGACTCTCACTGGTTTTGCTTTCAAACCAGTACATACTCATCCTGCTCCTGGTAGACTTTAAACCTGGCCCAGCAGAACTGTTGTATTTTTCAGTCCCAAACATGGCCCATTTCAAGTTTCTCAGCAAATTCCACCCAAAAGTTGAGTCAACATCTGCCTGTGCTGAGCCTGACACTTGTGACTGCAGGAAATTACCCTAAAATCCTGAACAGGGATGGCTTTGCCCTGGCTTTCCCAGGGCAACATCAAAATCTGCCTCACATGAAGCAGTTTTAGCCACACAATTGGTCAGAGTGAAACTGTGTGGGATGATTTGTCCCCATCCCACATCCTGCTTGCAAAGGATGTGCTTTGGGTCCAGCTGATGGTGGTAGGGCACATCAAAGCCACCTGGTGTGATTTCTTCATCAAGGAGTGGTGCAGCTGATCCAAAATCTTATAAACAAGCTACAGCTCTTCCCACTGTCCTGATCTTGCTCCCTGCCTTGTAGTGCTGGCTTCCAGAATTATTGGGGAATCTTTGTGGGAAGTGAATTCCTTTCTAGTGCTCACGTGAATTGTGAGTGGGAATCTGCTGAGCTGTTGGGAAGAGAGGGGGTAAAGGAGCAAGCTCTGCAGAGACACACTGAGGCTGCTACTGCTCCTCAGCCAAAATAAACACTGTGAAATTCCCACAGCTTGGTGGAAGTGCTAAATATTGCTGTGAAGTGGGCAAAGTGAGAGTGACAATGAGATACTTAATAAATGACTGTTTAAGGGTTTATTTGTTTCTTCGAGGATGCACAGAGTGGGAGGTGGTGTAACAGGTCAGGAGTGAGCTTTGGAGTGATTTCCCTTAGCACCTGGGATGGGGAATTTCACTTGAGAATGCCATCAGATCCCGGGATTTGGCTTCCAGAACTATCTAGGCTTGATTTATCCACACAAATAATGAAGGAGAAAATACCCATGGTCCCTGCTGGTGATTTGTTCCCATTACTGCCTTCCCACGCTGCTCAAAGACGTGGAGCTTGTTCCTTGACTGACATCCCTCTCCAAACACTGGAGCTCACTGGGTGATTTTATCTCCTCCATAGAGCAGAGATTGCCTTGCTGAGGGTGAGTAACCAGTGGTGCCCATGGCAGGAGTGACTGTGCTTTCAGAAATCAAAAGTTCACCCACTGGGCCTGTTCTGACTCGGGAGACAGAAGCCATGGGAACCATTGTTAGCATTTCACAGGAGAGTGGGTTGATATTTTTTAATCAACATTTGCATGCTTAAACGTCGCTTCTATTTTATTTTTATCCACCTCCTTTCTCCTTGTATGTTTTCCAGCGCACAAAAAGAAAGAAAGGAAGAGAACTTTTTAATTAAACTTTTGAAGAAAGCTACAGTACAAAGCTGCTCTTTATATTGCAGGAGATAAATCACTGCAAACATTTGGAAGAGCACAGACTTTGGTGTGTTGTGCCAGTGAAATCACACGTCAGGAATGATCTGGGGTCCAAGTTTGGCTCCTGGTTGAAGGGGCCACCAAATGAACTTGGTTGTCACTGCTTATCAGGCTAAGGGACCAAGCTGATATATGGACATGGCCAGGTTGGATGGGGCTTGGAACACCTTGGTCTGGTGGAAAGTGTCCCTGCCCATGGCAGGGGGTGGAACAGGATGAGATTTAGGGTCCCTTTATTGCAAGGCACCTTTAAATAACCAAAATATTAAAGCTGAGAAAGCAGCAAGAAGTGAATAATGCAATGAGCTGAGCTGAACCTCAGGTGAGTAAAATGTGTGCTTGGTTCTGAGGTGCTTGCCCCAGGTCCTTCTGTGACCAGCTGGGATAAATCCATTTGTGCTCCTTCCATTAACTGTGAAAGAGGTCAAGGGAATGCTCAGAAATGTGTCTCCATTTTGCAGATTTTCTTCTGTTTAGGAGACTCTTGTTTTTCTGTGAGTCCAACCATTAACCCAGCACTGCTGTGTTCACTACCAAGCCATGTGACACCTTCTGGACCCTTCCAGGGATGGGAATTCCACTCCTGTTCCAATGCCTGACCCCTCCCATTACATTGTCCCAGTGGAGCTTCTGTCTCTGCTCTGCTGTCAGCAATGGACCAGCTCTATGGGGCTCAATCCTCACAAATCAATAGGAGGGAGGGTTAGAACAACCTTAAGGAAGGATGTGTTCCTCCATTTTTAACGTGTGTGTTCATAGAGGATGTGTTCAGCTTTTTCAGTGCTTTAATACGTTGTTAGTTCTCAAAACTAATCACTGATTGGTTTTTTGTCAGATCCAGAGGAAGCTCTTAACAGCTCCTCTCAGAAAACTCATTTCTGTGGGTGGCTTCTTCCCTCTTCACCAAATGTCAAATGTGCAAAACCAGCACAAAGTATTTTTTCAGGAGAAAATGAACAGGGGGAAAAAAATCTCTCTACCCTAGACAAGGTTTCCTCAACCCCTCCTCAGCTCATTAAACACAATGAACTGCCAAAATATTCCTTCAATTATTCCAATGAAGCTCTAGTCTTGCTTCCATGGACTTTGGAGCAGCATTTTGGTCTCCAGACCCAATTCCCTGAGCAGTTTGGCAGCAGTCAGTCCAGCTCATGGGCAGGGCAGGGAGGGATGCTCCCCTTCCACACTCTGGCCAGGAAGATCCCTGGATCTAATGGTTCATATCCTGGCCTTGTCCCCCTTGTGCAGGGACATTTGGCTGTCAGATGGGTCATGCAGCCACTGCAGCTTGTCACTATGTGTAAGGTGAGCTGTGCTAAGCCTGGCATCCCATAAAAACTGTCCTCAACACTGACAGCCAGCAAAGGAAAAGGAAGGACTTGTAATGGGACTTTTCCAAAATATTCCTCGTGCTGATCCTGCTGGCAGAGGGGGAAGCAGGCAGAGGAAAGGGCAGGATCAGTAAAGGGGTGCAGCCCTCACATCTCCCTTTGTTCAGACACCTACTTTGGTTGATAAAGGATTTCTGTCACACCCTTGGCTTTGTGTAGTGCAATATTGAGGTGGAAAAGCAGCCCAGCAGATCTCCTGTCTGATTGGGGCTGCAGAGAATCAGAGAAATATTGAGAAATCTGGAGATCTCTGTCTGAGTCCACCACCTGATCAGGTCAGCCAGGGCTTGGCAACATCCACGATTCCAGAGCCTCCACAAAGATGGAGACTCCCCCACTTCCCTGACTGCCTCTCCCAGTGCTGCACAATCTCCTGTGGAAAAGCCTTTCCTGTTGTTCCATCTGAACATCCCTGCATGTTGGGACAGCAGTCATGGAATCCCAGAATGGTCTGGGATTTGGGTTTGGGTCAAAAGGGACCTTGAAGATCCTCTCATTCCACCCCCAGCCATGGGCAGGGACATCTTCCACTATCCCAGGTTGCTCTAAGCCCTGTCCAGCCTGGTCTTGGACACTTCCAGGGATCCAGGGGCAGCCACAGCTTCTCTGGGCACCCTGTGCCAGGGCCTCCCCACCCTCACAGGGAACAATTCCTTCCCAATATCTCATCTAAATCTCTCCTCTTTTAGTATCCAACAATTCTTGACTGAAAAAAATGGCTTCAGCGAAAAAGGGAAGCAAAGTGTGGATTTTGGTATCACTTTTGCATTAGAAATAAAATGGCATCAAAGCAAGAGCAAGAAAGTGCAAGAATTTTAGACTGACATTTCACAAATCAAATGTTTCAATCTCCCATGTCAGCAATTAGCTCAAAAGAAAATGGAAAAATCACCCTGAAACAAAGGAACTTTTTTTTTTTAATATCCAAAAGCAGAGGGTGAGCTGCACTGGGAAGGGGAGGGTCTGCCTGCTGAACATGGAGAGAGCAGGAGCACTTAAAATCATGTAGTAAAATCAGGGATGGATCCCTGTTCCCCCAGGTTTACTCCTGGACTTCCATCCGTGCTTGAATTCAGCCTTTAGCAAGATGTGGGTTTGCCTCTCTCCACGCTGCAGCCCAGCAGCAAACCAGGAGTTCAGAGAGCACAGCAGGCATTATGTCATCCTGCGAGGAGGAGCTGGGCAATCCCGCAGCCACTTCTTTCCAAACCCTTCTATCCAATCCCTCCTCTAGCAGCATTGCTGGAGAACTGGGGGGGAAAAAGGGAGCCTGGCCCCAGGGGATGGGTATTACAAGAGGAGATCCCACACCAGGATGTCCTGATCAGCATCCCAGAAGCAGAAGAGCTGCAGTGCCGGGTTCAGAGGGGTGGAAGTGCCTCCCTGGCTGTTGTTCACCTGCCAGATCCCTCCTGATTCTGCTTGCAAGAAAACCTGTGTGCAGCAAAAGGTGATGTCATCCCTTCCCCGCTCCTGAAATCCAGCTCCTTGCTGAACGTGGCTCAGGGCTGGTGTTATTAACAGTCCCTTTTGACACATCCTGCGCTCTGACGATTTCTTTCTTGCTTTTTTATTTATTTTATTTTGTTTTATTTTTTTTCATTTTCCACCCCTCTTTTTCTCCTTTTGCTGCGTGGTGACCAGGCTCCTGAGACTCAGGTTGATTAAATTTCTATGCCTTGCAGCTTCCCTGGAGTCCACATAATTTATGTAAATACGAGAGATAAGAAACGAGGGGGAATCACAAGAAAAATGGAGCATTAAGCCGCCAAGATCCATTAAATTCTCCATCACCCTTTTCAGAATCTCAATGTTCAGCCGCACCGCCCCCATGTTTTCCCCCTGCCACAACAGCGTGGATCAAATTAACACTCCTCGGGCTGAGGAAATCCACGGGATCAGTCCCACCTCCTGCCTGACATGGGGATTTAGCCCTGCCTGCAGTGAATCAGAGCAGGGAACAGCCCTGTTGGAGAGGCAGGGGGTGCAGCCTCCTTGTCTGCCTGTATCCCTGCAGCTGGAGCTCCCTCCGGGCAGGGATGATGCCAGGCTCATCCCTAGGGACAGAGATATTCCTGGGTAAAGCAAGGTGAGCAGGGCTTCTCCAGTTTGGGATCCTCAGGAGAGTCTCTGCACTCCCTCAGGGTTTTTCCCTGAGCCCAGAGGTATGACCTGAATGTCACCCCAAACCAGCCTTTCAACCCCAATTCCTGGAAAGTTGTGTTGGGAAGGAGTAGGAGCTGTGTCAGCAGCCTGTCGTCCTCCTTTGTGTGGTCTCTGCCTTGCCTAAGCCCTTCCCAATCATCCTGATGGATGTAACCCCCTTCTCCAGCCTGTCCATCACTCAGGCTTCAGAGCCAGTGAAGACCTCCCTGGACCAGTGCCAAGAAAATTGGCACTGCAGTTTGGTGATCTGGCATGTTAAAATGCCTGTGGAATCATGGAATGGTTTGGATTGGAAGGGGCATTAAAGATCAACTCATTCCACCCTCCCTGCCATGGCCAGGGACACCTCCCACTATCCCAGATTGATCCAAGCTCTGTCCAACCTGGCCTTGGACACTCCCAGGGATCCAGGGGCAGCCACAGCTTCTCTAGAAAATCTGTTCCTAGCAGTGTTTTGGCCCCCAACAAGAATCAAAACCCAAAAATAATTCCTGAGGTTGGTTTGGGAGGTGGCCTGGAAGGGGGACAGTTCCCATTTGGCAGAGTGGGTGGGAGTGCTGTTTTGGGAAGGCTGCAAGGACACGAGGGATGGGAAATATGGAAATGTGGCAGCAAGGGCATGGCCAGATTGCACCAAATGGCCTCAGAGCCAGGAAACACATCAGGGAATCTGTTCCTAAGGTGCACAGCACTTGGCAAACCCCATCCCAGGCCTGGGGCAGGCACCTACACACAGACACACAGACACACACACGGACACCTCTGCCCTCTCCTGAGCCAGACCCAGCTCAGTCACCACAGCCACAACACTCCCAGTCAGCAGCAGGGCTGGAAGGGCACCTGCTCCCACAAATGACAGCTGAGACCTCTTGTGACAGCAGCAGGAGCCTCGGGGCTGTGCTGTCTGCGAGTCACTCAGACCCAGAAAGCTCCTCTGAGACTCAGCCTCCTGCTTCCCTGGGACTTCCAGTCCTGCACAGAAAATGCAGTTAACCCCAGTCCCCGGGAAACCTCTCCCTCTGTAGATGGATGGCATTAGGAATAATGCCATAGATTTTTTTATTTAAGTTTTGAGCTCACAGGTACTACTTGAATTGCTTTTCTTAACAAGTGTGACAGACAGAAACACCTCTTTAATGGAAGCAAAGACTCTCCAGTAACAATATGATTTCAGGATGCTGGAGCTCGTGGAAAAACCACAAATGTTGAGTGGTGATGATATCCCAGGAGCAGAAGTCACTGGCTGTCACTCAGCCCTGTCCCTAAGCTGGATGCTGTAGCAGTACTGTGGGTGTTTCTGCCTTCAGTGCTTTGCAGAGTCAATCCTTGGTGCCTGTGCCCAGGGCACAATTAACTACTCCAATAATCTAATATCAACTTATAGATCTTTCAATAGTCATCCAGGATCAAGGTCTAATTAAGACTACAAATGAGTTAATCATGTGTGATGAAGTCTTCTTAGAAAATTGCACCCAAGTCTTCCATTCTTTTGGAGCGACAGAAACTTCTGACAGAGCCCCAAAGCAGAGACTAAAAGAGTGGTGATTTAAATGGAGTGATGGGCATGA